CACTTCTTCTGTGACCTGGCCCCCCTGCTCCACGTGGCCTGCATCGACACTCATTTCATACAGATGTTGATCTTCATCTTATCCACCTTGGTCCTCCTGACCTCACTGCTGCTCACCACTGTGTCCTACACCTACATCATCTCCACCATCCTGCGCATCCCCTCAGCCCAGGGACGTCGGAAGGCCTTCTCCACCTGTGCTTCTCACATCACCGTTGTCTCCATCGCCTACGGGAGCAACATCTTCATGTACGTGAGGCCCAGCCAGAGCCAGTCACTGGATTTTGACAAAGTGTCAGCTGTCCTCATCATAATGGTGACCCCTCTTCTGAACCCCTTTATTTATAGTCTGAGGAATGAGAAGGTAAAGGAAGTTTTGAGAGAGTCAATGAGAAGGATTGTTCTACCACATTCCAGAGAAACATGACATTAAACATTTATTTAGGACATCTAAGTTATGCTCCCTTTACATGGCACCTTGTTTGTATCAAAAGTGGCACAGAAGTGTGACTGAAATCTCAGAATCCATAAGCAGATGAATAAGCATCACACATTATCAGTAGTGAAGTATTATAACCTTATTATAGGAAACCAGAAAAAAATAAGGATTCCGTGTCCCATCAGTCCTTAAAATATTTTTCATTATAGTAATAGAGGGTTGAAGAAACACTCCAGACCCTGAGTCATAAAAGCTAGTGTCTAGTATTTGTTTAGGCACTAACTTCAATAAATTTGGTTCCATGCTTCTCTAAGCTTCCATTAGCTGATCTGTAAATGGTGCAGGAATGTCTACTGTGCATCTCGTAGTGCACTTGCGGCTATAAAATGAGGTCAGTTGAATAAAAGTAACATTGTCATCACTTGTAGAGATTGGAAGAGTGGAAAGCTGTAAGGTTTCCTCAGCCCTGAGATGCCTCCCCTTTGATGATCTTGACCTTAGTAAGAGGCAAGATTTTTAACTCTGCAGGTGATATGGCAAGGAAAGAAGTTTAAAGGACTGGTGGGTGAAGACAATCAAATGCCACTTTTAAAAAAAGGATCTATTCTTCACCAAGTCAGGTATATGCCTGTTGTGTCAGCTTCAGGTTCTCTTTATCTTTACCTGCTTCCATTAAATGTGGTTTTTTTTTTTTTCATTTAAGTCACTAACTTTCCTTGCTCCAAGTCTAGACTCACCAAGGTTCCTGGTACCTATTTTTGGTTTTCCATGTGACTTGCCTATTTGGAGAAATTATTCTAGCCAAAACAATAGGTGTCAAGTCATGTAGTACTATCTTTGTCATTGTGAACTAATTACTATTATATTTTGATTAATATGAATCTGATCTCTGGCTCCGTGATGAAAAGAAAAATGTGATGAATTTATCAATGTAATATGACCCTACGAGAATTTTATCTAGAAAACAGGATCACCTTTTAAAGTTATTATTTCCATAACTAATTTTCTTCAAACTCTTATAATCTGCTGAGTCTATATTGGCTAGAAAGGGAAACTGAGCAGAATGCCCAGTGTAACCAAGAGGAGATAGGAAGAGAGGAGGGCTGTAGGAAGCTAGATTAGAAAGAGAGCTAGAACCATGGGTGTTTGGACCCTGTTTCTTTAGATGAGAAAGCCTGGTTGACCTCAAAGGGGAATGAGGTGTTCAACAAATAAATATAATCTAAAGAACAGAAAAAGGATTCAACCCAAATGTGGGAACAGCACATTGCCACTCTAAGGACAGCTGTAGTGGCATAACAAGAAAGCAGCCCCTGATTTCTGTAACTGATCTGATGTTCACAGATAGGTCTCAATGTTACTACAAACTGATACGATGCTTACAGACAAGTCATGTTTTTCTCCTGTTGGACATAAACAATTTCACAGAATATCCATTACAGACAAGGTCATTGGGCAACACAAAATACCAAACCTTTCCTTTTCTTGCCAAATTGAATGTCTGCTACCTCTTTACCAGTTACAACCTTACCTCCACTCTGTTGTCACTATAAATAAGATGGACTGAGATACCCAATCATAGAATAACCCCGTCTTTCTGAGAGCATCCAATCCAGAGCAGACCCTCACTTCCTCAGACCCTCCCCAAATACCCAACGAAAGCCTAAATCCTATCATAGGCGCACTGTCTTACTGAGATATTCCACATTCTCCCCATGCATGTTCGCCCTTACTTGAAGAATAAAAACCCAACTTTTCAACTATACATTGGTTCCTGAGTCTTTTGTGTAAGTGTAGTGACACATGGCACAACTTGAAACTCTGATAAAGCCTTAGAATACCACCCGAGTCCAGTTCCCAGGACATCTGAGAAAGTCAAAAATAAGAAAAAGTGGATAATAACTCTGAATAATGTAAAAAAACAAAAAAAAAAAACCACAAAAAAGACCAAAAATCTACCTGAGGCTCTTCACCACCTAATGAGTTTCCAATGAAAGGGGCTTGGTGATTAAGTCCAGATGTAGATCACGTGATGTCTCTACATGCCTGAATAAAGGGTATATAAAGCTGTGTTTTTCTATGCATAAAATCGGTTTTGTTCTCTCCAGTAAGAGTTATGCTGTTAAATCCCCAGGCTGAGACAGCACTCCATTCTGGTGTTCCATGAAAAAATCTAAACATGAGCCGGCAGAGCCAATTTTTGTTTTTGAGGTTGGTGCCAAAGGCCCATGAGGACATCACTTAGGGAATAATTGTAACCCAGATGCTATGAAAGGGGAATGGCCCCCAGGAAGGCTTTACGAATAAATGTGTGTGACATTGTGATCAGAAAAACCCCATTTTTATTGTTTTCCCCAAATACAAACTTTATTTTTATTTTTCCTTTAGAATTCCCCACTCTTAAAATCCTATTGTCTTTTGGTCATAGGTCCAGACCCTACACTCCTACACTCAAAGAACTCTGTTTGAATTCATTTAAGAATCCAATTTACTAAATTACCCTTATTTACTAGATTTTCTCATGCAATTTTGTGATAGTTGGAAAATATTGTTATCTAAGGCCTTGCCAGTTATTAAATCAATTATTAAATTTTTAAATGTATTTCCTTTGATATTTTTCTCCCACTTTTCTCAATTCTCCATTGGTCTAAGACAGAGCAGTCAGTCAGTTGACCACTCCAAATCTCTTGGGGTACAATTCTTTAAACACAAGCTTTGTTCCTGTACATTAAAAGACCAAACTGAACTTACTTGTGTTAATATTTTTTTTGCCTATCAATGCACATGGTTTTGACATCCTGGAAGAGACTGGACTCAAGTAGCAGTGACTGATTTTAGCCAAGCACTTAAAAATATCCAGGATGGTCTCATTTTCCTTGTGAAAATCTATATCCCATTCAACTTGCATGGTGGGGGCCTGGAGAAGGGAAAACTTACGTTCTTATGAGAAGTACAAGGTACTTTCACTTGTATACAAAGTAAAGCCTGTAAAGGCATTTATGGAACTAAATATTTAGAAAAGCAATTTTTAAAATATTTTAATTCATTCATAGTTATCTGGCACTTAAAAATTTCTTAAAGGCTGAAAGGAAATATACCAATAGTCAATGCTGACTAATCTGACTGGTATTTAGGTGACTTTTTAAACACTCTACTTTTCTACATTTCTTGTAGAAATTTTAATTTATAAGGAAATGCATGCATTTAATTTATAAAAATTGAATAAGAATATTTTGGAAGATGTTAAATTTATTTCTATACTGATACACAGGAATATCTCTAAAGAGTGACTACCATTATCTAGTATATAAGTAAGAAATTGTTTTATTCCATGTGTCTTAAACTCTCATAAGTCATGCTCTTAAATTTTTGATGTCCATCTTAGGAGTTGGAATAAATACATAAAATTTAGTCCTTTTTTCAAACCAATTATTTTTTTACTTTGTTTTTATAGTTAAATGCTCTAAGGAATTCCTTTTCATTTGCTTCAAAGTTTGAAAATTAATCCGGAGGGAAATATATTGAGCCAAAGTGAACTGCTTGCAACATTCACTGTTTTCAGACTATCTCCACCTGTAGTAAGTTAGTGCTGAAGCTCCTAACTGGTCATAGTAACTAAAGAATACGGTAATTAATCTGGAATTCTAGATCCCATGTCCAATATAAATAAATCATAGCTTTGGAATAGAACTGAAATTAATATAAAAGTCATAAAATAACCCATCATCAAAGGTTAAGTGTTGTAATATTTAGGGTTGCAGTAATACAGAAGAAGAAACTACTGATACCTGAAACACTGGGATAACCTCAGAGCATCAGATTAAGTGAAAGAAACAAAACAAAAGGACTACATGCTGTGAGATTGCACTTATATAAAATTCTAGAGAATTCAAAATTGCACTGAAAACATCACTGGTTGTCAGGGGCTGGGGTATGGAGGGGCGAGCATTTCCTGCAAAGGGCATGAGGGAACTGTTTAAGATAATGGAAATATTTCAAACCATGGCTGCATGAGTGTATGTATTCATCAAACTCAACAAATTTAGACAGATATATCAGTAAATAATCTCAGCTTTAAAAGCACTTTGAAGCTTATATCAATACTTTATGCACATTTCAGAAAAAAAGCATTTTTAATTTCTCCTAGTTTTTGGTCCCAGAGGCTTTAAAGAAATTCTCTAAGTTTTTCTTAAAAGAAATAAGCACCCAAGTGCATCTCCTAAGAGACCTTCACCTTGTAACTGTTATTAGTCACTTCAATTCTAACAGTCTGTGAATGCAATAATAATTAATCTTTTTATGCCACCATCCCAAGTGCCATTCTAAACCAAATCTCTAAAGGTGAACAAAAAATTCATCCAGTTGTAGTCACTTTCATATAAGCACAGTAATAGTATTTTCTAGGCAGTTCACAAGGTGGGTATCTAAAATCAAGTCACAATAAGCCTGATGAATGAACAGGAGGAACGTAACCAAATGATGAAAGTTTAGAGACAAACTTCATTGAATGCAAATACAAACTTTAACAATGAGGGCTTAAAAGAGAATGATGGGCCTCAAGAAACAGTGAGTTTAACATCACTGGACATCCATGTGGTGGAGACATTGCAGCATATTTTAGGACCAGTCTGGCCCATATGCCCTTTAAATTCTAGTATGACATATGGTTTTGAATAATTCCAAGTTTCTGGATGAATCCACAGAACAAATAGGAATTCACTGAATAGACAAAAATTACATTCCTACAGAGAAAGAAAAAATCTGAGAACTGGAGAGCTTTCATCATTTTTGCCAGAAACCTAAAACAGAAATCACAGCACCTGCTCTTCATTCAGTTGGGTATGATTTCTTCTTTCATATCCAAACCTAACCATTCTGCTCCCTTTAGCAAAAATATAGTTCAGAGCACATATGACTTGGAACTC